TATAAAATATTATAAATTTTAAATAATTTCTAAAAAATGTAGCCTAATGGCAGTGAAATATGCACCTAGATTCATCTGTGGATGCATAAAGAGCATTATCCTGATCTCAAGGAGCTAAAAATTGAGAAGACTTCATTGGCTTCAACGTGTTGAAGCATCTTCACCAGCATTCTGTCAGAGGGTAACTTCAGCTGGTGATGAGATGCCACTGTGAACAGCACTCCACTAGAACTATTTTCTAAAACCAGGTGTAAATACCTTCAAACCTGACACCATTTGGTCTTTCTACCAAAGAAAGAACAACTCTGGATTTGCAGAAATCATAGTCAAAGGTGGAAGTCATCATCTGTTGGCAATTACAGTGCTAGTCACATTACTACTAACAAAAATATAACATTTCACAAGAACATTTAACACACCATGTTAAACAAACAGCTGAAATGTTGGTCACTTTTATACTAAAATGATGTCAGCATTCAAAAAAAGCACAAAACATATTAGCAAAGGGAACGTAATATTTACATTTAATCCACTTTTATAGTGTTAAAATTTTGTATCTAATTTAGGAGCTTTATGAGACATGCTTTAGCAAAGCTTTTGACACTGGTTTGCCTTGGCAGCCTCATGGACAAGCCAACAGAAAAAGGCACAGTGACATGGACTGAAAACTGGCTGAAGGTCCTGGCCCAGGGTACTGTGACCATTGGCCCAAGGGCTGGCTGGAGGCAAGTCACCCAAGGGTCCTCCTGGGGCCAATACTGTTTGACAGCCTCCTTAGACCTGGGTGCTGGGACAGAGCACACCCCAGACCCAAAACTGGGAGGCAGGGGTCCATGCTGGGGGCCAACAGTCTGGGAAGCACCTTTGCAGAGAAAGACCTTGGGGACCTTGGGGACAAGGAGCCAGCAACACACCCTCATGGCAAAGGCCACCAGCATCCTTGGCTGCATTAAGGAGGGCATTGCCAGCAGGTCAAGAGAGGTTCTTCTCCCCCTCAGCAATGGTGAGGCCATACTTGGGGTTCTGTGTCCAGTTTTGTGGTTGTCAGAACAAGAAACAGAGGGACTTACTGGAGCAAGTCCAGTGCAGGGCCACAAAGATGAGTAAGAGACAGGAGCAAGCCCTATGAGAAGAGGTTGAGGGAGCTGGAACTCTTCAGCCTGGAGAAGAGTTGGCTTGGGGGGAACTTATCAATGCATATAAATACCCAGTGAGGAGGAATAAAGGAGCCACTTGTCTCAGTCGTGCCCAGTGACAGGAGAAAAGACAAAATTAAACCCCAGAAAATTCAATCTGAACACAGGACAACACTTTTTTCCTGTGAGGGCAGACACTGGCACAGGTTGCCCAGAGAGGTTGTGGAGTCTCCATCCTTCAAGATGCTTAAAATTTGATTGGATGTGATCCTGGGCAACCTGCTCTGGGCAACCCTGTTCTAGGAGGAGAGTTGAAAGAGGTGATTGCAAGAGATCCCTTCCAACCTAAATGATGCTTTGATTCTGTGCTGAATAAAATCTCTTTGGGCTGAGATTAAGATGGTGGCAAGAGTTTTCAAGTTGTAGAAATGGATTGTAAGTAACAAACGGAATGTTAATCATTAGAAAGATTACTGTTTAAGTAGCAAGAATAGGGGAAAAAAAAAAAACCTTTAGAAAGTAACCCTTAGCTGGGTGGATTATTGCCAAACCACTGTTAGCAACATTTAAAGAAATAAGAGAGGGAGAGGAAAAAAAAGGTATTATTTCAAGTTGAATGGGCACTGGTAGAGTATTAAAAATCAATTCTTTTGTACCGAGCTGATTGCATCCTGGGTTCTTTTAACTCTCTGCATCTCTGGTGTCTTTTCAATAGTAGTTCCAGGTCCAGTATCTTCTTTATATAAAATCTTAATGTTTAGAATGAAGACAACATGGTTAAACATAGAAAACACAACGTTATTTCTTCTAGAGAGTGCATACAGGCTCCTGACAGTGATTTGAACACAACAGCAGAGGCTGAAAGCCAGCTCAGAGCATGATCATCTCCAGTCTGCTTGTCTGAAGTCTGTCCTACCACATGAGTGCCATTTGTGAGGAAAAAAAACCAAAGTATCAAACCATTTGTAGGTTAATTTTAGGATTGAAGTCTAATATTTATCCTAATACGTTCCTTTTATTTCCACATAATTTGGTTTGTTGTGTTTTTCACAAATGTCTTCCACTTAGTTCCTCCCTGTGCTAGTGGTGTTAGTGGCAAAAGGACAAGAGCAGACCTGAGGCACCTGGTGGTGGCACATGAAATGTGGGACACATCAGGCAGACAGTTCACTTTGCCCTGAAAGGCAACAGTTGCAACACAACAGCAATACACTACTTACATGGGAACAGGACAGAAGATACCAGTGGTGGTGGCAATTTAAGTACAGGATTGATTGCTTAACTATATCACAGCTATGTATATGTGGAGGTGAAGTCAGGACACTCCACAAAAAAAAAGCCCCAGTAGATAAAAAGGGGCAGCAAAACCCAGTTAAATCTACTCAGGATAAAATAAATTTTGTTTGAAAAAAGTCTTATACACATTGAAGCAGATCAAGCACATAAGTGCCTGTAAGAGAAGAGCCAAACCCAGTTGTTTTACTGACCCTATTAACCTGTGGGTTTTTGGAAGGAGGATTGAAAACAGAAAAGAACTATACCGAGCTGAAATTCTTCTGGTTTTCCCTCACACGCAGCATTTCTGGGGTGTCTTGCACAACTGTAACTTTTCCTTTACTGTTCTGTAGGTCCCACTGATACTGAAGCTGTGGAAGAAAAGTAAAATGTCAAAAGTTGACTCAAAAATTTACTCAGAGAGTTTTCTCTGGAGAAAAAAGAAAACATTCAAATCCACCTTAGAAGGAGGAAGTTTTAACACCACTATTAGTGATATAAAGAGGTGTCCAAGTTACAAGTGTTCTCATTTAAATTAGTAGTAGGAGATCCTCAACTAGATTCATTGAAAAATCTTGAAAGGTGTGGGATTGTGTCTAAAACAATGAAGTCTCAACAATGAAAGTTCAAGATTTCAAGTCAGGCTGTGGAGTTCTGCTGCTGACCATCCAGTCTTGAAGACAGTCCCATGGACAACAACAGGCACCTTCTGAAAATATAATTATCACTTGCAAAGGAATTGTCAGAGCACTGCAGCAGGATGGGGTTTTGCAAGAAAATCAGAATCAGTTTGGTTCCCTGAGTAATGCCTAACATATATCTGTGCAAACACAGCAGACCCTCTGACTGCAGATCCCTGAGGATGTAACCACAGCCTGGCTGGGATTTGAGTGGGATATCAGGACCTTATGGAATGAAAAAACAAAGCTGAATGGGTGTTGTTATTTGACAATAATGGTGTTTGTTATTTATATACATACTGTGCTGAAGTTCTTCTGATTCTCACGGACTCTCTGCATTTCTGGTGTGTCTGCTACAGGCACATAGTGTGGCATGGTCCTTTCTGCCTCTTCCTTGTACTTTTTCTGGTAAAAAATACAAAATATATTGCCTCAACACAAAAGCAGTAAGAAACAATCAGGCATTAGCTATTGTTGCACAATGCCCATCTCTGTGGAAATGTGAGTAGTTCCCTATGTGTCATAAATTCAGATTATTCCTCTGTGTAAGATTTATTTTAAACATTAGGTTATTAAGGAGTAGGAAAATTAAGCTAAACCTACATGGAATAATAATAGTCTTGGTATTGCAAAAGCAATAGAAATGGTTTCATTTTATAAAATAAATTCATTTCAATACTGAAATGGAATTTCAGAGTAAGAGATGCCACATTACAGCTCTAGAGAAACTTGTTCTTCTGGTGTCTCTCCTGAATGTTGTGCCAGATGGTTTCTTGGATGTATTAGCATCCATTTGAGGTTCCCACATGAAGAATGATTAAATTGCTTCACTCAAGATACCTGGCTTGACAGGTCCTTGACCTGCTGGGCATGAACGATCTCAGGGGTATCGACGACACTGGTGTAGTTGGCCTTCTCCATTTCTGCCAGTTGTTTGTACTTGATCTGTTGGGGAAAGCTCACCTTTAGCTGCCTTCATCATAGCTTGACAATGATTTTCCTTTGGTTTAAACTGAAAAAATTGTTAATGAAACTTCCTTTAAAAAAAGACATGAAGTGTGATACATGAGAGAGCCACACGGACCTGGCTGGCGATGTCAGTGGCATTCTTTGCTCTCACAAAATCTGGTGTCTCCAAAGCCAGTTCTGTCAGACCTTTTCCTCTGATTTCTAATTCCAAGGCTTTTTTGTACTCTTTCTGCAGAGGAAGACAGTAAATAGACACTTTGTCAATGTGAATGCAACCCCTTTAGCAACGTCAGGTAATTTCGTGACCACGGTACAAAATAGGAATATTACCAAAGATATTCTGATCTCTCAAGTAAATAGACACTTTGTCAATGTGAATACAACCCCTTTAGCAACTTCAAGTAATTTCGTGACCATGGTGCAAAATAGGAATATTACCAAATATATTCTGATCTCTCGCTTTGCTTCTTGTTTCCTCAGCCTTGGTCCTTAGTTCCTAATCCTTGGTGACTGCTCCTGACCTATGGTGCTTGGTTTAGAATACTGACACCTCTGGTTCCTCACTTAGCCTTGCTGCATCACAGCAGGTTTAGTCTATCCCTTGACTGAGCCAGCTACTGATCACAGCACCTATTTCCCACCTATATTCCTAACAGCAGCTTCAAAGCCAGAAAAGAGCTTAAGCACATAAAAGTTTAGGCTCCCAGTTTTCTCCTTACTCAGCCTCACATTCTTTTTTTTGCCTACCCAAGAGTTTCCAGGGAATGATAAAGTTCACACTGGTGTTATACAGCTAAAGGCATTTATCAGTTGGAGGCTGTTACATCCGTTCAGGTACTTTCCAATTAGCTTTTGACATACCTCGTTCAGGATCTGAGTTGCATTCTTTGCTCTTAACATGTCTGGAGTCTCCTCTAAAGCTGTTAGTCCTTTACCTTTGACACCTTCCTCCAGATCCTTCTTATACTCTTTCTGCAGAAGAGAGAAAATGAAAACTGCAAAGCCAGAGCAAAGAGGGTTCTACATGCTACAACTTGGTTGCTAAAATGAAAACAAAAAATAAAATTCCAAAAGAAAAAAAAATCATTTTTTAAAACAAAACAAAAAAAATTGTGTAGTGTTGTATAAGAATCACTGCAACAGAATAGGGTAATTATTGTTGAAGATAAATGGCAAAGGCACACACATGGACACTCTGCTACGGAACCGTTAGGCTGAAGATTGTGAGAAAGGGACGTCGTAAATACACACACAGTTAACAAACAAAGAAAGAAAAAAATGTCCACGACAAATTAGATCAGGACACAAAGGATATGTAAACATGCTTAAGGGTTAGGAAAAAGAAAGTGGTGAAGAAGAAATGCTGCTGAGAATACTTAGTGGAATTATTTGACTTGGCAGAGGGAATAAGCACAGAGTAACCGCTACCTCGCTTGCTATTTTGGTTGCATATTTGGCATGTAATAAGGATGGTGTAATCTCCAAGCCAGTAAGGTTCCTGCCCTTAATGGACTCTTCAAAGTCCTTCTTATATTCTTTCTAATGAGAGTAAGAAGAAAAAAAAAAAAAGCAAAATAGCAAATATTACATTACTTTTAATTACGTGAAGAACTGCTCGGAGGATGGAGCAGTGGTTTGGCATTAATGTCACAGTGGCAATCTCACACAGTCAATGCCATGGGCACCAAAATAGTAAATCCTGTTTCTGCTGAAGCCCATGGAACAGCTCATTACTTTCAATGGAAGTAGGACCTGAGCCTGCCTTTTTAAAAAAGTCATTTTCTACTTCTTTGTATACGGAGAGAAAACATGCAATGGAATGACTCAAAGGTAATGGCCTTATACAACTGTTTTTTAACATGTAGAAGTTTTCATCTGTGACAGAACAAGATTGTACTTCAAACAAACAGAGGAGAACTGCTTGAGGAAATAGAATGACAGGTCAATGAACACTGTGACAGTCGAGACAAACAGAAAATAAGTTGAGTTTCTCAAAAACACAGCTCCGAGGTGAAAAGAATAATCAGGATACTTTCTGTGGACTGTGATAACCAACACACACACTACACTCGTGCTGCAGAGGTCTAAGTGAAATGTATTTCACATTATATTTCTTCTAAAGAGTCAAAGATGTGCTTCAGCTTCATTTACTGAGAGCTTCTAGATGAAAAATAACAGATAATCTCCACTTCATTGTGACACAGGAACGCTTCATGAATTTTAAATGTAGTATTTCACAAGCAATATAAAGTAACACAGTATAGCTATAATTTTTCAGTCTATCAGCATGCATGTGATAGCTATAATTTTTCAGTCTATCAGCACACATACAATGCAAGTAGAATTGCCTGGTCAAATCAGTGTGAAAGTTGGGCTACAAAAGGCAGATTGCCTGGTCAAATCAGTGTGAAAGTTTAGCTAAAAAAAGCAAATTCTAAAGATTTTTGGTCTCTCCGTATTGATTTTAACCGTACCTCACTCTGCATGAGCTGAGATTCCTTTGCAGTGAGGTATGTTGGAGTTTCAAAGTCCAGCATGGGTTTTCCTTTCTCCTTCTCATACTTTTCTTTGTATTTCACCTGAGTAGAGAAGAAACAAAGTTACCCTCCTAAATAACCAAAAGAAACAATTCATCAACTAGGATGTGCCTACTTTGGTCAACAGATCTGTAGTAAAAAAATGAATGTCTAATACTATTTATCTTCCTGAAACCCATACTACTGACCATGAAATGTCAAATCAAAAGGTCAGGCTTGCAGCAAAAGGTGTGTGGCCTGAAATTCTACTGATTTGTCTCCTGTTGGAGAGAACAAGCAGCTCAGATGTGAAGAATTTACTGGCCACAAGAAGGAAGACAGGTGGCTGTAAAAACCCAATTGGAAGGCATTTAAACTGCTCGTGTCCCAGACTGAGTTCAGCCAGTTAATGGATTCTTGGATTGTTAGTGGCAGGGCTTGAAAAGATGCAGTTTAACCACTTGCTGACTAATTCTGTGCATGAGTGTCCAAGAAAGTAAAATGTCCATGAGGATGAAGATATTCTTGCTTCAAGTTATAGCATCCAGCCTTTAGGCCATCAGTTTTCAGACTGCTGCATGAGGTGATGTTGTGTCTTTGGCTGAGACACATCCTGCCCTCAAACTGGGGCAACAAATAAACTACAAACTGATTAACAATCATTTTTTTCATAGTCCTTTGCTATGTAACCTTTTTGCTCTTCCATGCCATGCAGCAGAATAACTATGGCCCTTTGTGTTCTAGCAGTAATTTGTCTCTTGCTTTACAATCAGTAAATACTTGGAACAGAAATTGGAGTGGAAAGGATCAGAGATCAAATCAGAGTATGATTTCTATAGACAAAATCACCCTGATAAATACAGTATACTGTGTGAAAAGACCCATATACAACAGACATAAGTCACCTTGACATCTACTTAGCAAGAAGAAATCATACAGATATTTTCTACGTGTCCTAAACTTGCAAATGTGCAAATATTGCCCATGGTCTTGTTTCCTGAGGTGTTTATAAAGCAGGTAGGCACAGAGGTTGTTATGGACTGAAGGATCTGCTAGGATGACTGCAGTGCTGGAGAATGAGATCAGTGAGGGGGGTTAATGAGAAACATGTGACTGACTTACGTGGCTCTGTAGTTCTGATGCCTCCCTTAGATGAACCTGTTCAAGATTATCTGGCACCATATGGTAGTGACCCTTACTCTTCTCATATTGCTTCTTGTACTGGTACTGAAGGGAAGGTGTCAAAAATCATCTCAATAAAAAAAAAAACTCCCTCAGCAAATTTACTTCTTAGGTCCAATCAAAGCAACACTTCAAATGGAACATCAAAGAGAAATTAGAAATACAAAAAGCAAAACAAAACCAAGAAGTTTAACACCCAGTATCAGACACCACTTCCTAAAGAGATGGGTGAAGAGTTATCTTTTTTTTTGACCATTTTGATTGCAACAAGGATTTGTTTAAAAATCAGGATTAAAAAAGAAAAAGAATAAAGAAAACAGAGGGGATACATGAAAAGGCTGTACCAGGCAATAAGGAATCTTGTCTTTTCTCAGTGAAACCATCAAGTATTTTGTTAGGAATAATTCTGTACAGTTACAGCAGGGGGATGTTAAACAAGAATGTGAAATGAAAAAACAGACAAAAATAAAAATACAGTAAACAGTAAAGAAAAAAAGTTAAAAAAAGAAGAAAATGGTATTTGTTAGTGTAATGCAACCAGTTAAAAGGTAAAGAATTAATCCACCAAAAAATTATTAGAGGATTTTAAATATTAGCAGTTCTACAGCTAATAAAGATTTCACTTCCCAGAGGATAAGTGTGGCCAAGTTAACCAGGAAATAATCATTAGAAAGTAGAGGAAGAGATCACTACCAGGTGATGTCCCTTGAGTAAGGAGGGAGGAATGGTTACAGGAGGAGCTAGCAGAGGTCAGTCTGGAATGGAATCAATAGTAATTGAAAAATCCAATGGATCTGGGCTGGGTTAATGAGCTTACAGTACTGGCGAGCTGGCTGGTGTTCAGGACGTGGTTCATGATCAGAGACTCAGACATGTCTGTGACTGGCTTGTGAAGTTTCTTTAAATCTGCCTTGTATTTCACCTGCAGGCAGGAGAGGACAAACCACATCAGAAGAGGAGGCTGCTGCTAAAACCCCTGGTGTTGAATCTGAAGTGTTAAATTCCCCTGAGGGAGAAGTGTTAGGTAACATACCTCACTAGCCATGTTGTGAGCATCTTTCATGGTCTTGTAGATTTTAGCCTCCTTTAAATCATACTTTGGCTTTTTACCCATCTCTTTGGAGAAATTCTCCTTATATTTCACCTAAAATAATAAAAAAACAACAACAACCAGGTATTAGAACTGGTCTTAAGTACTCACCTGGTTAGCTGCAGAAGGCAAAGAGGCCCTGCCTCAGTGCTGGTGGTAAGCAGAAGAACAAAATGTTGTCACTTGAAGGCACCCACTGGAAGAGAGATTGTTTTATGGATGTCCTGATGTGGAAAGAAAGATCTATGTCTGTATTCACAAAATGCCACTTGCAATTTTTCATTTGGTGCACAGGTTACATCTCCTTGTTGTGAAAATAACAGAGAAACAAGAGGATGAGGTTGAAAGCACACAGCTAAATTCTGCCTCCTGGAGATGAGGAATTTTTCCCTTGATGGAAGCTGTGCAGAGGTTAAAGATCCCTTGTTTCACAGAGACTACAACTGACACTGGTATAAAGAGTATTTAAAAGAACTGTTCAGGTCCTTCTTGGAGAAATATGAGTTTTAAAACCTACCTCCAGACATACAAGCCCTGAAGATGGCAATAGATAAGATACTTTATTATATACTGTGGTACACATATCATGTTCTGTTTAGAGAAGAAGAAGGATGCTAATGATGACAAACAGAAGAGTGATACAATTAATTAATAGGAATTAGATTACTTTAGATTTATTAGAATTAGATTACTTTTAGATTTAGGAATTAGATTACATGAGAGGCATAGTAACACCTCCAAACCACACTAGGATCTGCAAGGTGAACCCTACTGATGTAAGCCACAATAACCCAGCAGACCCAGGCTGGAGGCACAGAAATGGCAAGAATGAGAGTTTTACTAATGACTTAAATAAGAGCAAGCCCTTCATCCATTGGACTTGTCCCATCCTGCTGTGGCAGCTGCTGTTAAACACCAGTTCTTCACTATTCCTCCTACACCCACAAAAGACATGGTTCCATTAAGAATGTTTTGGTGGTTTTGCAAACATTTTTTGCTAGCAGAGAGGCATAAAATTGTTTCAGAAGAGTGACTGAAGAGTGCAAGAGTAACTCAAAAGTATTAAAGGTTAAGTTCTGGCTTAGCTAAATGGATCCCTTAATTAGTATTATGCTCATCACCATTAGAGCAAACATCAATAGAAAAATTCTGTGGATTTCTCATGTTTTCACTGCAGTAATATTCCAATCTGGAAACAAGTGAGGCAGCATTTCTTCTATTTACCAATCCACATTTCCTTGGAGGTATTTTACACCAAATAAGCTGGCAACCCCCAACCCTTTTCTGAAGAAGAACTGAACATCATTGGTCTTTCTGAAAGAACTTGCTCTCATTCAGGATAAAGAAAATCCTTATAAAAAGCCTGCAGATAATATAGGATGTGGCTGAGGAGGAAAAGGATTACATGGTTCTTCAGAAAAAAAAATCTCATCTCCCAAGCAATATTTATCTGCAAATTGAAATTAAAAAAATGAAGAACTGATAACTAAGTTGAGGAACAGCTGACTTATGCTATGGTTTTTTTTTTCCCAATGAAAACCACAGAAATATAAAGATATAATTTTATGTTAGTAAAAAAAGGAAAATGATTGAATGCAGAATTAAATCACATTCCATGATCACATTTTATGCTTTGAGTTCATTGTCATATTCTTGTCCATACAGCACCATGCAGCTGCTGCTGGGTATCACTGTTACTCTTTTGCTTTGCAAAGTATGCCAACATTCAGATAAACACAGACAAATCCACAAATTATATAGCTGCTGTAAGAAAACAAAGAATATTCACATTTTTGACACAAAGGCATCAGCATTGGTTCTGACCTCACAAAAATTCAAGCCAAGCAGAAGTATCATAGAATCTGTTAAAGTTTTGCAAGCTGTGCAACCTATGATCAAGATCAGACAGTCATGCCAAAGAGTTCAGGGTTTTTTTAAGGCCAGGAGAAATATTGCTGCAAGATCTATGCCAAATTAAAAGCAGGCATGCCAGACAGGCAGATGAAATCCAGCTGAAAATAGATGTAGACAAACTGGGCATAATGTTTTATAAAGAAGTTTAAGAGAAGAGATGTCTAAGAGAAAAGAAAGTTAAAGATTAGGCCAATTATTCTTTGCTCCTTGCTGCCTCTTACAATAGTTAAATCTTTTAGAATTAAAACAATCTCATCAAAGCATGTTTATAAGACTAAGAGGAGAACTGGAGAAGAGCATGGACAAGGAGTATCTCATTATTGCTGAACAGGAATAAACCTATTTTCTTCTTTTTCTTCTAGTTCCATTGTTCAGTTCAAGAATCCTTGGTTCTACTGGAAAGATTTTTGGTTTTCAAGACAAACACAGTGGCTGGCACCCAAACATGCAACACCTACATGCAGCAATCATGGCCAGACATGGAAAAAAAAGACAGAAGGGCAGAAATACCAGCAGCTACGTGCCCTCCCATCACCACAGGGTACAATTCTCTGAGGCCTTGGGGCTGGTCCAGTCATGTATTATGTTTCCATTGTGCCACTCCAGCCCAGTGGAAACAAATCATGGCCAGACATAATAGAAGGTTTAAGTTTAAATAGAAGGTTGAAGTTTGAATAGTTAAAATGCACTTCTAGTGTGAATGTTATGCACACAGTGTGTCTGGTCATTGGAAGTTATCAGCAGGGTTGTTCTGTTTTTTCATACACATGCTTTTCCATTTTTTGTACAGTTTCAGGAAAACCAGTTCAAGCTTATAGGTCTGGTTTTATTTTTTTGGGTTGAAAAAGATGAATCTTTACATCAGAAACTTCCATCAAAAACACTGGAAGTGCCAAAACCACCATAAAGGGCATAATCACATTTCAAGCTTCATGTGGTGTTTCCAAAAAGAGACAAATTCCCCACCCAAATTCCCATGCACAGTCTTTCCAGAGGGAACAAATAAAAAGACAAGGTGGTCACATCTCACAAGTTTTGCCACATTCAACACCTTTGACACAGAACTATCCAGCACAACCAGTGCATGATAAACCCTTTAACAGCTTGGAATGGCAAGAGAATGTGCAAGCAAGAGACAGATGCATAAAAAATGGCATTCCCAGATGTGGCACTTAAAATGATCTTACATGACTACTTAGCATATTAGCTTTCTTAAAGGTTCTCATCCATGGGGTATCATAAGATGCAGCTCCATGGCCTCTCATGTGGCGTTTGAGGTATTCTGCCTATAACATGTAGCAAGAAAGCAAGATCAGAAATGGCACAATTACAGGATTAAAGCATGAAGTGGTGGCAGCAAACCAGGTTGGACTGAGGTCCTGGTGAAAAGGATTGTCACAGCAAATAGCATGTAGGTGCTCCAGGCTGATTGGAGAACATGAGTGTTAGATTAATAGAATTTTTCTTGATTTGTACAACATATTAAGTTCAAAACAGAAAATTCTTTTAAAGAAAGTGGTGGAAAGAAACTGCATGCACACCTTATGAAGGATGGATAATAAGAGTGAGGTAAAAGGTTGCTTCTTTTAAAGTCAATACCAAGAAAGGCTCAAAATAGAACCCAGCTAACACTGGCCTTAGTATTTAAAAGAACTTGTCTTCTTCTTTAAGAAGATTCTATACTTTTATTACTCACATTTAGGAATTCAGTAGAAAAATATCTTTCACAAAGAAATGCTTTGCACTGGGATTTCATTTTCACTTCAACACATTGCCTTTAAAACATTTTCTTATCCCCTAACCTAGAAAAAACTTCAGTTATAATGCTCATATTACTCTGTAAGATAATATGAGATCTCATTTCTCTTCCTGCTTCAGAGTTTCACCCATGTTTTAGTATTACCTGGCTGGTTAGCTTGGACACCTCCTTTGCCAGTTCAATATCTGGACGTCCCAGCATGGTGACACCAATGCCAGCTTCTCCACGCTTCTTGTACTCAATCTAACAAAGAAAACAAAAAAGTACAATTTAGTAGCAGTGACAGTCCATTTTAATTGTCTTCTTGGCATTTAATAGTCAAATTACTGCTAAAGAATTAGACAGAAGACTTACAAAACACTTACATCACTAATTAACTTGGCAGCCTGAGTTGCTTTCTTAATATCTGGGCGATCTGCTATAGGTGTGTAGTGGAGCTTTGTCTTGGCATCTTTCTTGTATTCAACCTAATCCATGGTGGTAGACAGAGGAAAGAAAATTACTGAGGTTTGGTCCTGAGGAATACACCTGATGAGGACACAGCAACGTTGCTGGGAAAGTGCTTTTTTGTTTGGTTTTGGTTTTATTTCACAAGGTAGAGATTTGGGAATCTTTTTTTGCAAGTTGTCTACAAATGAAGAAATAAACATGGGCAGTGCTGTCCCTGTCTGAAGGCATGAAAAAAATCATTAGATGTGATCTGCACTAGATGACTTTAAATCCTACCATGTGATTAAGTAGAAATATGGATTTTCAAAGAAACCTTTTATTTCAGTGAAATTTTACATTTGTAAATATTTGCACGTTTATCTTCCAGAATTTTACCTGAACTTGGAGGTTGGAGGAAACTCAGCAATATGTGGATTTTTGTTTTCTGCCAGCTGATTTTGACTGAATGTGCTTATCAAAGCTATTTAATTAATGAAAAGAGAAGACAAACTTACTGTACTCTGGTGCTTAGCAACTTCCATAGCATGTTTCACATCAGGAGGCTCCAGCATGACAGAATAATTAGACTTGCCCTTCTCTTTCACAAACTTCTTCTTATAGTTTGTCTGTTAAGAGCAAAAAGGGCCATCTGTGATTTTTTAATTTCACATGGGGGTAAACTCTACTGAAACTTGGAAATAAGGTCACTGAATCTGTTAAGATAGATAAAATGCAGTCTCCTCAGTCTCAAAATGTATGGCCCCCTGATTGTTCTTCATCATTTGCACTTTAGATTATAAAAGTTTGCTATTTGGAGATAATAATTAGTGTTTAAACTGTATATAAATAAATTCTGAATTAATGGTACCTGTTAGTATTCCAGCCTGCTTCTTTCCTCCAGAGTATTTCATCAGGCTGACAATAAAATGTGTTTAGCCCTTTGTTAAAGTCTCATTTTGGTAGGAATTAATAGTTTCTGACTCCTTGGATATTTTATGAGACTCAAAGTGTTGCACATATACTAAAACATGCAACAGTTTAATCAGTCATAGGCAGCAGGTAATCTCCCCATGAATTGTTATCACTCTAATAACTAATAACTTACCTCACTGACATTCTTGGTCACCTCTTTCACATGAGCAGTGTCCCGTGTCTCTGGCAGGGTTGTGAAAGTCCCATGTGGAAGCTGCTTCTTGCTGTGTTCTTTGTATTTGTTCTGAGAGCACAGAAGAACAAGAGGTAAAACCCAACAATGCAATCCCCATCCCTCACGTCTGCAGATTAAGAGGGTGTCCTTAAAATGAGCCAATAACTCTCTGATGTTTTACCTCAGATACCAGGGAGCTGACATTCTTGGCCAGGAGTATCTGAGGTGTATCTGGAACAACATGGTAAGTTCCTCGAGCTTTGTTGTGCTTCTCTTTGTATTTTATCTAGCAGGAAGAAAAGAAAGAATTTTAAACAATGTGTTATCTTGTGGCAATTTGAAAAGAAATTACTAGAGCTGTACCTGCTTGTTAGTGCAAAAGTTAGCAAAGAATCCCATGTTTTGATGTTTTCCAAGAAAAAGTTATTCCAGTTTATATAGCTCTTTTATTCTTTATATATAGCTCTCACTTGCAATGTTATTATTAGATGGAATAGTGAATATTTATATATTGTTAGGAATTATTGAAGACCTTTTGTGTTATGAGCAAGTTACACTTACAGCTTTCTATGTTGTTTTTCCCCCATAATATTTTCATTTCAATAACAGGAATGCAGAGATATCCCAAAGGTCTCAGGTGTTCAGGCAATGTCAACTTTGAATATTCATTCAGTCTTTGAACTACACCAGTGACCAAATTTATCCTTTTTTTTTTCAATTTAATTAAATAAACAAATCAAATAATGAAGTGAGACTTGAGAACAACTTTTCAAAGTGTCATTCTTAATCAAGTCATATTTCCACTTAAGGAGTTTATGTAGTAAGCAAAATTCTAGTAGAACAAAAAGAAAAGAAAGTGTTCCAAGTACTTACATCACTTGCCAGGATGGCATTATTTAAGGCCAATACTGTGTTTTTATCATCTGTGACTGAGAGTTTGCATCCTTTGAGGAATTCCCTGTCCAGTTTGTATTCATACTGCAGGAAGATAAAAATAACAGATAAAAGAAGAGTTCTGCAGTTTGGTGGTTTTGTGAGAGATGTGGGGAAAGGTGGCATTCAATTTGCTTGGAGTTTCTTACATCACTCTGTTGCAGAGATGACTTGGCTGCTTGGACAAAGTCAGGTCTATCAGCAATCCAGTGCCAATGGGCCTTGGCTGCTTCATATTTCTTCTTATAATCCAGCTGTTTAGAGTGAAACAGGAAAAAAAAAGAAGTTAATTGGGAGTTGTCTCCATGTACTTTACACATGACATTCATACAGATGTAAATCCTCTTTCTGTCTGTACCAATTAATGAGAGAAGAGGCAAGACAAAGTGTGTCTACATCAGACTAGGGCTTTCCTCTGAACCATGTGCAATCCAGAGGGAGTCCATTTGCTTTCATTTTCCCACTGCTAGGTGGAGAAAGGAATATGAATGACAGAAAAGATGTCATGACTTTGAAGAAGGTGAGTGCTTTCAGCTCCTTCCTTGCCTATTGAAGTGGATGTTGGGCCACCAATAATAGAAAGCACAGGAGAGCTTCCCATGGAGCACTTGTTTTATCTATCAGAACATCATCACAGAGAACTTCTGGGACAGTTGTCTCTGTCAGGAAAACAGAGGGGGACTGGAATAGTAGATGAGTGACATAGAGGGACCTCAAGTGACCTCAAGGACAACTTGCAGGAGGAAGCACTCTAGTAGGAAATATCAAAATGGGTTTTTTATTCAAGCAGCATAAGAATTAGAAGCAATGTCCAAGTTTCAAACAGTTTCAGTGGAACTGAAAATAATTTCTCAGGGTTTCAATTGCCAGTCTCAAATATTATCTATAATAAAATGAAAGTGTTAATAAAAGTGAACTTACATTGCTGTTTAGCTTGTAAGTATGTCTTGGAGTCTTAATATGAACAGAATCTACTTTGACATTGCAGTGAGACTTATTCCTCTCATACACTTCTTTGTATTTCAGCTAAAGAAAGACAAACATAAAAATATTTACAAAGATATTGCCATGGTCAGCAAGAACAGCATCAAAATACAAAAAAACAGTGTTTGGAATTGCTCCTGTCAAGATGAAATTTTGATAGAAGAGAAAGAAATGGTCTCAATACAACTTGTTGTCAACCATCTGCCTGAAAGAAAGGTCCTCTCCAGCAGCAGCAGCTCTCTTTCAGTGCAGCAGGTGTAGCTCACCATGTAGCACAGACTGAGATTTAACAAAATCTACACATGAACAGTGATTTTGCACCTTCTTCTGGAAGCACATTCAATGCTTTCTGAAGATTCCCTCATAGAATCTCAAATTCAGCACTCAGTTTGGAAGTGAAAAAATGCACTTCCAATCCCACACCACATCTGAACATCTTTGTCTCAGTGCTCCATGTTTGGGTCAGGATGATATGACAATTTTCTCCTCCTAGGCTTACTATGTAATATATGTAATCTGTGTATCATCTGAGTTACTTTCACACTACTCATTCTCACAGTACTATCCCTCACAGAATCTCAAATTCATCACTCAGTTTGGAAGTGAAAAAATACACTTCTAATCCCACACCACATCTGAACATCTTTGTCTCAGTGATCCATGTTTGGGTCAGGATGATATGGGTATTTTCTCCTCCTAGGCTTACTCATTATATATGTAATCTGTGTAGCATCTGAGTTACTTTCACACTACTCATTCTCACAGTACTATGTTGAGTTAGGGAAATATCCTCATTTTATTTATGGTTATCTAAGTGTCAGGTGGGGGAAGCACAAACCAAGTAGAAATCACAAAGCTTGACACTGCCAACAAACATCTGGTGCCAGGGCAGACACAGGGGCTGAGTGAAGATTCAGCAATAAAGGAGTTTTGTGCTAATTATGATGACTAATTGGCTGCCCACAGCCCCATCCCCACACTTTGCACATCAGTAACAAAAAAAGGTATAAATATAATCCCCATGATGATATTAACATCCTGTGATATTATTCTATCTATTTCATCTTCCTTTCTCTCTCTTTTTAGACTTCCATTGCCCATAATCAAAACACATATTTGTTTTTGATAAAAATATTTACCTTACATATTCACAATATTGGTAGAAGAAATGAATAGATGTGGTAATGTTTTAAAAACCTTGTTCAAGGCTCAAAAAAGCAACTAAGCAATAGAGGAGGAAAATCTGGAAACAAACTCCCCAACTCCATGCTTTAATTAGATACCAGTTCCAGCTCACAGCTTTTATAACCAGTGAGGGAGGGCTTCTCTACCCCAGCCAAAATGTTCCAAGAGCTACAGAAGAATGTTACATGGAAAAATTTCCTGAATATCTTCATACTCTATTGTGTTTTCTGAAGAAGAGCTAAGTATTTATGGAGTTTTACATGCAGACAAATCCTATACAGTCTAACAAGGAGCTGGTTTTTAATGGCAGTGTGGCACACAGGTTAAAAGCAGTCTGTCTCAAAGTACAAAGTTAATTATGTGTCTTTTTGAGACCCCAAACCAGGATGATTTACTTACATCACTTATTCTGTCCTTGACCTTGCGCACGTGCAGCAGCATGGGTGTGTCATGGATGGTGGTGTAGCCTTTAGGCTTTGCTTTGTTATACTCCAGCTTGTAAATAATCTGAAGAGAAAAATCATAGATTTTATTATTTCTTGATGTTATTGGTGTCAATTGAAAAAAAAATCAAGATGAGAATCAGTCTATAATAGGCTGCTGAAAATGCCTTAGTCTTAATTATCCCACCCCAAAGGCCAGAACTCAGAGGAGGGGGTAGGTTTGGAAGGGCCTGACCACACTTACATCACTAATCTGCTTGTTGACTTTTGTAGTCCTCAAGTGTTCTGGAGTATCCACAACCATTGTATACTTGCCCTTCTTCTTTTCATAGTCCTTTTTGTACTGGACCTGGTGTTTGGGAGAGGGGGTGTTAACCAAGCAAACCATGACATCTTCAGGAGATAGGTTTATATAGTCACAGCAAGTTGCAAAATCCTCCCACCAAAGCCAAAATGAAAGCTGAACAAGCACAATGAGTTAAACTTTGCAAACCCTTTGTGTGCCCAAAAGGCTGCCTGTTTGTGTGATTCATTTACCATTTGTTTCACTGAGCTTCAGTGAAAAAGCTAGTCCAAGCTTTTCAGAGTAAAAGCTTCACTCCTATCTTAAATCTCCAAGACTGAGCTATAAAAGTCATCTCAGCAGATCAGTCACTTTTGAAATTTATAACTGGACAATATCTCCTTTTTAAATATTCATCAGGTTAGGAGAAAAGTAAAACACCTCACACAGTAGATTAAAACATTCATTAAATATGGCATAATGCCAGGCTATTCTAAAGGCTTTGATAGCAGAATTTTTATCTCAGTAATTTATTTCTTTAAGATCCTTTTGCCCTACTCAGGACTAAACCTGTTTTCACAAAATTCAGTGAGAACAGGTTGCACCCCAAGAATAATAAATCATTGTAGACAGCCTGAGGGCAGGTGGAAGAGGCAAGAACACATTTGTGAAAAACAAAACAAAACCAAAACTTTCATGCTTTATCTTGCATCAGAAACTGAAATCATGCTTTTGAAACAGGACTATGACAGACAAAATACCAAAAATTATATACAAAGAACAAATCTTAATGTGAAGTCACCTCAGATGAACACACAGGTTAGGCAGAGTGTCTGGGGTTTTTCCTTCAAACATGCTCAAACTTACCTGCAAGGAGTTTTTAATGAGGTAATACAGATAAATTGAACAGAAATGTCTGGTAAACACCTTCAGTACCTTAATTCTGAGGAATTCTGTGAATTGGGCTAACAATAAAACAGAAGAACATGCCTCTCTCTCTTGTGTAAGTGTTTTCTACTATTACATTTCCAGTTTATAATTTAAATGCTGCATGCTGGGTTCACCTGGCCCAGTCAGGAATCATTTTTACCACTGACAAGAGTAAGGTTACTGTCAGCAGATGTGATTTCAGAGCAGAAATAAATGTGTCAGATATTTAAGAAGCCACATTTTCACCCAGCTGGTACAATATACATGTGGAATCTAGATTACATAGAGGCAGAATATGGAAAATCAAGTGTTCAGAAGTAAGGTATGACCCTGTTCTGTATCCAGGCAGAATCTGACACCTTTCTCAGACAGAGTGGTAGATAAAAGCTGTAATCTATTTGCCAAATTATTTCATCATGTTCATATCAATTAAAGGAATTGTGTTATGAGGGCCAAAAAATGTTGGCAGAAGGAGAATTTGGGTAGAAAAAGATCAGGAACAGCTGACATAAAATATCTTAAATGTATGGAAAATTGTTCCTTATTTAAGTATGTGAAATAATATATACACATTTATGTATATAAATAGTACAGTTATTTATAATGAAGGGAGAAAATGGAGGCAGGATCAGCCTGAGCTGAGGGAAGTCCAAGTTACAGGAAATATTGTTTCAGATATTCTTTTTTCAAAAATATTTTATCATCACCAGCATTAAGCACGTTGACAAAACTCTGAAGTCTGATCTGTGTAGAAATGTAGAGAGCTCCCAAGCATTAAATATTAGATGTCCAAGCAGCTAAAATATATATAAAGTAATATAATGCCTCCTACAGCAGCAGTTCTTCATATTACCTGGCTCCATAAGTATGTGTTGTAGAGTGCTGTCAGCATATCTGGCCTCAGAATTTCATTACATCCTTGTTGCAGGAGCATCTTGGCAAAGGATTTATATCTTTTCTGTTCATGCAAATGGCAACGAAGCACAAAAGAGACTTGTGAACACCATAAACAGCAACACAGCTCTAGATCCCAGACACTTTGGGAGTGGAGAGATTTAGGCAAGGTACTACATGGATTCATTAAAATGTGCATCCAACTTACATCTCTAGAATTAAGAATGTCAGGAGTATGGCTGAGAAGATTTGTGTACTATTCCATTGAGGGAATTGTGAAAATTGGGAGATAAGAATAAATTATAGATTAAGGTGAGGGCACAAAAAGCCCAGTGTGTTACTGTCACTTGAGTAAAAAGATAATGCTTGTAGAGGTCATTAAAAGAGAGGTAATAAAACCCAAATGCATGGCACAACATGCATTTTTTATAACCTCTCCAATGACTTCCAGAGGCATTAGATTTCTGATGTTAATTGATGCACACTATATGAAAGCATATTTACTTTCATACTGCACATGGAGTAGAGATCAGCTCACCCAAAAAGCAACAGCTCTTTTTGGGTGGCAAAACAAAGACTGTCTGATCCCTTGAAGTGACACATCAGGAGGTCACAGGTGAGCCCTGTGAAACCACTTGCTGTAGACACTTCACACAGGCAGAGTAGCTGTGAAGGAGCCAGGCACTCTCTGGCAGCACTGGCCAGTGCTCCTACAGTACCTGGCTGCTCAGTGTGGTCCCCCACTTGGCCAGGAGGTTCTTGGGGTCATCCACAATAACGCTGTACCTATCTTTGAGCTTCTCATAGGCAGCTTTATATAATTTCTGCTCAGAATAGCATAATACAGTGTGACAGATTAAGAGAGAGTGAAGACACAAAGAGATCATAGCTCTGACCATTGCAACCTGTGGACTGCTTAAAGGTTGGGATTGAAGTTCATATCCAAAAGAGAAAAATAATATGTTAAAAAGAAAACCACAGAGAGACAATATTCCCAAGTAGCATTTAAAGGTTGGGATTGAAGTTCATACCCAAAAGAGAAAAATAATATGTTAAAAAGAAAACCACAGAGAGACAATACTCCCAAGTAGCATATGCATTTCCAAATTTCCACTGCAAAGCCCAATCTACAGTTTAAGGATACCTATATTCTACCCCTGCCACTCTTCAATAAGCCATTTTGTGACTTGTTTTCCTCATGACAAATAACTGCAGAAGCAACTCTGTATGGAATTAGATTCTTGATTTGAGGACAAGGAGAATACCATGAGATTCAAGGGTAAAATACAATGTTATATTTCATCAGACAGGCAAACACTAGAATTGCTAATGACAAAAACCCATCCCTTAGATAACTGAAGACACTTAGGCAACTTCATTTCAATGTATGGAGCTAAAATGTATGCTAAAATTTTATTAATTTATATATCTCATATTAAATTTTTCCTTGTCTGCTCTACCTAACAATAACAAGACTGAATATTAGTTTTTTTGCTCAGGCAACTTCATTTCAATGTATGGAGCTAAAATGTATGCTAAAATTTTATTAATTTATATATCTCATATTAAATTTTTCCTTGTCTGCTCTACCTAACAATAACAAGACTGAATATTAGTTTTTTTGCTCAGTATGGCAACTCAAATCTGAGAAGAATTCACCCAGAACACAGCACTTTTCAATGGTCTGTGTGCTGCAGGTGTGCAGCACTACTCCTGGAAACTCCACTGGTGATTTTAGTCTTAAACCCAGGGGCATTCATTAACCCCTTTTGCTACTCTGTGAGTTTATTGTTTCTTTAGCACCACAGGAAAAAGTAAGAAAAGGTAAGTAGCAGAGTTGGGGAATTCAAGTCAAAATATCTGAAGGAGTTTCTGCAAGGGCTTGTAGCAATAGAATGAGGAGTAAAGGTTTCAAACTGGAGATTTAGATCAGGAATAAGGGAGAAGTTCTTTACTGTAAGGGTGGTGAGACCCTGGCCCAGGTTGCCCAGGGAAGCTGTGGATGCTCCATCCCTGGAGGTGTTCAAGGCCAGGCTGGATGGGGCTCTGAGCAACCTGCTCTAGTGGGAGGTGTCCCTGCCCATGGCAGGGGGGTGGAACTGGGTGATCTTTAAGGTGTCTTCCAACTCAAACCATTCTGTGGCTCTATGGAATGAAACAGGGCTATAGTAACTTTGGACACACTATCTTCCTAACACTGATGAGTTTTTTTTCCAGGGTTCTAGGAAAGTAGTTGTGATTATCTCTACTTTTTTCATATGATAATCAGCTATCAGTGCTACTAAGCAAGCACTGTTGTTTAAGTCAGCAGAGGAGTTTCTTTGCAAAGACAAAGTAATGGAACAAGGGTCTGGATTGCACTTTTTAGGTACTGTAAACCTGTTCTGACTTAATAGACAGACAATAAGAACAACCCTGTCTTTCATGATTTTAGTCTGACCTTAAGGCATCTTGAAAGCTGAGTATATTTTGATTTATTTATATTTTCCTGAGAAAGATCAATCTCCAACTTGGTATTAACCTACACAACTCTACAACTCATTATGAGACTCCACAGAAATATTTAACACTTACCCCATCCACCAGCTGAGTTGCATATTTAAAATGCTCATTACTTGGAGAGTCAGCTACATACTTAAAATGAGACTTAGTCTTCTCAAATTGCTCCTTGTACTTACACTGGAGAACAAAACCAAACACACACAAAAAAATGTCAGTGTTAATCCAGAGAAGAGTAAAGCAATGAAAACATGATTTTAGAAACAATCTGCAGCAAAACCATGGTAGAATTATTGCAGATGTGCTTTTAACATACCTACAAACAAAAAAAACCCCAGTTATATGTGTGGTAGTTTGAAGAATGGAACAATCACATCAAGAAAGCAATGGAAATTTCAGCTCATCATTATTTTAAAGCTAGACTTAGAATCACTAGAAAAATTACTGTGGAGCTGAAAGCTTTGCAAGGGACAGAGGGGAGATGTAAAAGATGATTTTGCCTCTGTTTTCTTTAATAGTAAGAACAAAAAAATTCAATGCTGTATATTAAGTTCTACCAGGAATTATTCACATCAGTGTCTAGGTCAGGATTGGATTGTCCTGAAAAAAATTATTTACTGAATAAGGAATTTAACAAAAAACCATTTAGCAACAATTCAGGATGTTTTACTTACTCCACTGTAGAGCACTTTATTCTTCTCTGCCAGAACAAAACTTGGAGTATCCCATGCATAGCAGCCAATGCCTCGGAGCCATGATAAGTCTTCCTTGTATTTAACCTTCAGAAAACAAGGAAAAGGATTCAGTTCAAGCAGCACCAAGTGGTAGGTGACATGGCACCTCAAAAGAAGGTGTAGCAAAGAGAGCTACATCCATTGCTATTCCACTATAAAGTAAGTTAGACTTATCCTTTTCTGATGGACTCAGGTTATTCACACACCTGGTTATTATTCAGATTATTCACATACCTGATCTATCACTACTGGAATTCCTGGGTGAGTTAAAAAAACATATTTTCTTGTACAATTAAGGGGTTATTGTATATGTACAGATATGTGCAACTGAAGGTTTTATAGGGTTAACAAATAAATCTAAGTAAATGAAACTGCAGTTCATTGCTGAGAAGGAGAAGGGCAACAACTTTAGCCCTCTGATTTGCTTTGTCATTCCACAACCTGCCAGGTGGAAGTGTTGTACAGATATGTGCAACTGAAGGTTTTATAGGGTTAACAAATAAATCTAAGTAAATGAAACTGCAATTCATTGACTGTTCTGTTAATTTGAAAAGAAGGGCAACAACTTTAGCCCTCTGATTTGCTTTGTCATTCCACAACCTGCCAGGTGGAAGTGTAAATAACTTAAAAAAAAATTCAGCTGCCTTCCCTTTCTTAAGGAATAAGACTTGGTTTTCATTTTGGAAACCTGCTTCCAACTTTCAGCCTCTCAGACCCAGGAAGCATTTGAACTCACATCACTAATAGCTTCTGTGACTGCACGATGGTGGAAATGCTCTGGACGGTCTGGGATCGATCTCCAGATTCCTAACTGGCTCATATAATTTTCCTTGTATTTCACCTACAAAGAGAATTGAAGAATGAGGTAAACCAATTTGAGAACAGAACATTCCAGACCATGTAGTTTGAAGACATTCCTTTTGCTAAAACATAACTAAAACAGTTGAAATGAGATTAACTTGTATTCACCTTTATAACAACAAAGCTAAAGGGTATAATAATCCAGAGAAGGAAAGAGGTTAATATTAATAGTGTTGATCATATTATTCTAATTATGTGACACACTTCACTAGAATGATAGCATAAATGGCACAATCTAGGTCATTAGATCACAAATGAGGAATGAAAATGCTGTGTACATACACTGCTGATGTCGTCGGTGACCTTGCGGTGATAGACAATGTCCAAAGCATCTTTCACTGTGTGGTATTTGCCTTTAGTATTTTCAAAGGTTTCTTTGTAACGCAGCTGGTAAGAGAAATAACATACAAAAGAATGTATTTTTCCGGCAGGAATTGTTTTTGTTGAATTTCCTACCTCTTAGGAATGAAATCCAGGGATGTGTTGCTGTCCAACAACGTAATGTAAGCCCTAAAGAATTGTAAGAAGCAGCAATTGCCTGCAATCAATTGCAATTTGACTGATACAGTGAAAATCAAAGGGAAAAGGAGTTGGTATGACTAAAGCAACATATCATCCTAACCACTTTCTCACTGAAGACTGAGGAAAAAACATCCATGTACCATAGGATTGCTCTCTAGAATGATGAAAGTGCCACATTTGGCATAAAACCCCTACTTATCCCTTCATCTATGTCCTGATGTACAAGAAAACAGGAGAATTATTCCAGCCTTTGGAGAAATCTCTCAGAGGAGAAATTCAGATGTGCAAAAGAACTTGGATGCTCCTTCGCAGTATTTCAAAATCATTCTTAAGAGAGCAGTAAAATTAATCACCAGTGAAGAGCTCACAAGTGAGCAGAGTCCTCTCAGCAATTGCCCTAAATCACAAATCACTATTCCAGGTTTAGGGGGAAGATCAGTTTCACCTTAATAACCTTATATGCAGCAGCTCAGATAATTTTTCTCTCTAATCTGCTTCTAAATTAAAAAGAGTACATTCTCAGTGACAAGCAAGTTTACTTCTAACACAGAACTGAGATGAAAATATGTGATAAAGGATATTCTGTCCTGGCTCCAACATCAATCATTTCACTCCAGACTGCACTAACTGGAGATTTCATTTTTAAGCAGATTGCTTTAAATCTATTTTTATTTTGTTGTAAGACTACACTTCAGTGCAATGGAAAATGAAAATGAATTGTAATAAATGAAAAAAAAGCATTACAGTGACATCAAGTGAAGACTTAATCTCTGGAATATCAAATGGAAATGCACATGCAAATGGGGTGACCTAGTTCATGACCCCCACTGAGATATTTTATGCTTTGCATGTGTGTTCCCCATTGATCTTTTTTTCTGCTCTTTTCATAAAGAAACCAAGAAAAAGCAGCAGTGGAAGTGTTGCTGGAGTACATACATCACTGGCATTCAGGTAGGCTCGCTTGGCTCTGATCAAGACTGGCGTGTCAGGGATGGGTGTGTATTTGTCCTTCATCTTCTCATACTGGGTTTTATACTTTTTCTAAGAGAGACAGCAAAAGGGAAAAGTTATACCTCTAATCTTAGAAGCATCTGATAATCCAGTGTTATGTTAACACCCGTGGCTGCTACATCAAGGGATAAAGTCAATCCTGCAAAGTGCTTCTGTAAAAGTCTGGGTAAAAAGCTCAGCTCTTTCTCAGCCTTCCTGATCTCCCAGCCAGCTTGCCTCAGACTCTGCAAACAAGCACTTAGACACAGGTAACTTATAAAGTACTAAAATGTATTTTAAAAGTGTACTCTTCTACAACAACTTAAAATGAGGAACTTAAACAGAAGAGACCGAAAACTGAATGAAGAGTAAAGAGATTTGAGTCTTGAAATGATCACTAAAAATAGAAACAGAGCTGCTAAACAGTTCAGCACAGGGACACCAAACAAAAAAATGCAAATATCTTACCTCACTGACCATGTCCTTGACTTGCCTAGCATGTGTAAAGGCTGGAGTCTGACCACCAGCATGATGATGGGGTCTCTCTTTTGTGGCAAGTTCCACATACAAGTACTGCAGAAAGGGGAAAAGAATAATTAAAAAAAAAAAAAAAGACATTTCCAGTAAGTTTTATTTTACAACTCTGAAAAATGACTGTAAAATTCACCATGTATACACAACCACACAGTTTACCCCAGGAAAAACTAATGTGCCCTTTTCTCTTCAATATTCTCTCAGTTCATACTCACGATGGTCTGTAACTGCCAGGAACATGCTCACAAACCAACAAGTCAAATGTATGTGACATTAGTGACCTCTCTGCCCTCATCCAGACCTAGCTTTAGCTAAAAACATCCATAAGGTCTGATCTTCTCTGGTGAGTATCTTCATTTTGTTCTGAAAATTTAAAAACTTCACAAATTTTGTAGCTAATACCTCAGATAATGAACTACTATTTGAATGAAGAAATGATGATAAATAAAGGTAGATGGATAGAAATATTTATTCCTCTGATGAAATCAGAGTTTCAGAGAATTTGATCAAAACTTTACCTGAGTTCAGTGCTCTGTTTGAGATGGTCAAAGCTGAATATGCCCATGACACAGACATGGACAACATGAAAATTCATAGCCACTTAAAAACGAGCAGCACTCACTTTAAACATCCTCTCTAGGAATTCTGCATGAGTTTGAAATGGCCTGGAAAGATTTTCTGCACTTGAGGAGTATATTAAGAGAGATTCCCTGATTGTTTTTTCTATCAGTACAAATTTTTCACCTGGCTTTGTATCTTTTGCCCCTCCTTGGCTCTTAAGAAGTCAGGTGTATCAAGGACAGAAGTGTATTTCGTCTTCAGCTCGTTTCCTGCAGCTCTGTAAACCAGCTGGAAAAAGACAGGTCCATGAATTATTTCTTCTGTTACAGATGTTTAGCAGCTGAACAATCACAGCTTTGCAATTATAACATCTCATGTATTTCAGAAAAAGCAGCAAGAGCTGCTGAGCTTAATTAGAGCTAACAAAGATGTGCAAAAATAATACAGAACTTACTTCACTCAAATGAGTTTTTAGTTCCTGGACTGCTCTGTATCCAGGAGTATCCAGTACCACATTGTATTTAGGCCACATCTTCTTTGCAGTATCAGTATATATATAATTAGACTGGAAAAAGAAAAGCAGTATTACTTAGGAAGCTTTTATTATTCTTGGTAGCATAGAAAATTTTACAGTGTAACCTTAACAGTGCTTTGAAAAAACTAACTAGCTGCATGGTAAGAAATTCTGTCAGAAGTCTTCAGGCATTTTGATGTACTTAACTTCCTGGAAGTATATAGGATGCACATAAATAAATCAGTTGTTGTTATACACATTTCTCAGAAGAAAAACCTTACCCAAAGCTTACGCAGATGACGAGCACGGACCATATCAGGAGTATCATAGAGGAAGCAACCCAAGCCCTTCAACCACCTCAAATCCTCTTTGTATTTAACCTATGAGGCAATTAGAAACAGAAAAATCACAGGTTAGCTCTTGGATAATTTCACTAATCAGTCCCCAAACACAACGAGAAAGCATTTATCTAGTACAGAATAGAACACAAATGACAGAGGCCAAATTCCACTTTTGGTAGAAAAGTATTAAGCCTGTTGTATTCCTACACCAAGTCTCTGAACAGAAGCTGCTTACATCACTTGTGATGTCCCCAACGTAGCGACAGTGCAACACCTGAGGAGTGTAGGGCAAGGAAATCAAGTGTCCCTGCAGCTTAAAGAAATCCGACTTGTAGATCAGCTGAAAGGCAAAGAAAAAACAGCTTTTTACATTTGGTCGTGCTGAACATTCCAAATTAGAAAAGTATTAAGCCTGTTGTATTCCTACACCAAGTCTCTGAACAGAAGCTGCTTACATCACTTGTGATGTCCCCAACGTAGCGACAGTGCAACACCTGAGGAGTGTAGGGCAAGGAAATCAAGTGTCCCTGCAGCTTAAAGAAATCCGACTTGTAGATCAGCTGAAAGGCAAAGGAAAAAAAAAAACAGCATTTCACATTTGGTCGTGCTGAATATTCCAAATCTCTTGTGGTTTTGATGTTAGAAAGACACATACATCACTGACAGCTTCCTGGGTTGCTCTGACTTGACGGATTTCGGGTGTATCTGGAGTGGTGTGGATCTTGTCCTTGTACTTGTGGTACGTTGCCCGATACAACCTCTGCATCAAAGGAGACAGCATTTTATGTCTTAAAAACTTAAAATGGCAAGTTTGGCACAGTCTGAGTGCTTCTCTTAAGGGCAGTTTTACCAGGTAGTGCATAACTACTAGAGAAAAGAGCAGACATGTATTATTTTCCAGCCAGGTAAAGATTTTCTACAATTATTTTGATAGCAGCATCTCTAACACATGAAGAATCTGAGACTCTAACTCTACCAACATGTAAATATGTTTCATTTTCATCCTGTTAAAGCCAATGAGTATATATATAAAACCTAAAACTGTTGAGACCCAATGTCATACAGATACAGGAATTTCTATGCAACTTTAAGCAGGTTAACAAAATTAGGCTGCAGGTGGTCTTATGTCATGGTAAAAGTTTTACTGGATTACAGAAAATTAGAGTTATCAAGAACCTTAAAAAGCCATACAGCCCAACTCCAAGCAGGGATCAATGATCTCTTGCCACTCTTGACAGATATTTGTCTAAACTGCCCTTAAAAGCCTCAAAGACCAAGGATCCTACAACCTTCCCATGAGATGTACTCTCATTATTCAGATTTTGGGCACTACAAATACAACTGAAAGCAAATACATGTATTTACTGTACCTCATTTATGACTTGGTTCACTTTCCTCACGTTCTCAAACCCAACATCTTTAGGTCCCAGAGTGTAGCCTTTAGCTTTCATGTGTTCATAGGCTTCTTTATATTTCAGCTACAAAGTGGAAAGAAAAGAACCAAAAGATAAGGAGATTAAATGTGATTCTCATTCACTGCAGTTCTGACAGTGATTTATGCAGTATAAAGAGCCAGATTTTTAGAGATAAACAAGTGAGTTGTAGCTATATCAGTTAAATATATTATACATCATCATTATTTTTACTATTATCATGTGGCCCAAGGTTAATAACGTTTCAAATTTCTCATGCAATTTAATAAGGTATTTGTCTGAGGAAATTTATATTTTGATAGCAGTTGCTTCAGATAATTATGGGGTTTGGTAACATATGAATTCTGTGAAAGCAAACATGAAGTCACTGCCTATGTCATGGACACCCTCAGTTCTTGGCTCAGGCACCCCCACATGGAACCCAGCTCTTGTTGCTCTCTCATGAGCCATCTCATATCTGAGAAATAACTGTCTCAAACAGTTGTGTGCTCATACAGACATCAAGTATTCCCTTGGGAGCCTTGTTGTAGAAGGACTTGGTACATTACTTACATCACTGCCAATGTACTGGACATGCTTAGCATGCTGGAAGCTGGGGGTATCTGTGGGAAGGCTGTATCCAGTGGGCAGAGCATTCACACCAGCCCAGCGATACAAATTCTGCAAGAGAAGACAGAGTTTGTGGCAACAGGGTGTGATATTTGAGAGTATTCCTCAACTGCACTGCAAAGCTCTCAGTGGCACTTGGCAAAAGATTCCCCCCATGTCTGCAATATAATGCAGTGAAATCTGACTTTTAGAGCAGTGAAATCTAACTTTTTTTTATCTGAAAAGCTAATGACAGACACCAACTTTTAAAGAATTTGCTTTTTGAATACTGGAAACTCTATGGCCCCCAGAAGTTTTGTACTTACTTCACTCTGTATTTTGTTTGCATTATAGGCCCTCTCCAAGTCCACTGTTTTGTCAGTAGGAATCATTTTGCCTTTGACATTGTGCATATATTCACTACGATAGACATTCTGAGGAAGAGAGAAAGTGGTTAGAGGAGAGTCATAACTGTGATGTTCTCTCACACTATGTACAGTTTGCACAAGAGGGGAATTTCTCCTAAAAAATTGGATTAGGGTTTTTTGGATTCAGGTAATTAATGATTGTGTTCTCATATCTTTGTAAATGCATGGGCAATGAGTTATAGATAACTAGCATGATTAAATGATTGCTATAAAATTCTTTTAAAAAAATATAAAATCACATTTCTGGAGCTTGTGAGGGAATGGCACATGCAATATTGGGGGTGAAAGGTGATGCAAACACTTACTTCACTTGAATTCAAGCCACTGAGGACATTTTGGACATAAACAGGGGTGTCCACGACTGGAGTGTACTTATCCTTCATTTTTTCTGCCTTAGATTTGTATTTGATCTACAGAAAGCAATTCAAGAGTTCTAATTAGTTAGGCCAGTAGTTGTTGTAAAGTATATTATAGTAAAATAAATATAGAAAGTAAATCATATATTAAAAGTATATAATATTTCCTGTTTATTTTATCCTATTAGTGAACCAGAATTTAAATAGAAAGTGTATTGAAATTATGGTTGAATAAATGAACATGGCACCTTACTAGACAAGAACAACAGAGAAGTTTTATCAGGGAATATTAGGAAGTGTCAATACTCATTCCTAGACCAGGGATGTGTCATGAGGTAAATATCCAACATACTTATGAAGGGATATATATTCTCAAAACAGAACAGTTACTCTCCCATTTTAATGGCTTCATCCTAAACTAAGGATGTATTGTAGGATCTTGATAGGAGAAAAAGAAATCATAAAATCAACATCAAAAAGCTATTTATTTTTTTTTAAATGAATTCTGCATCATTTCTGCTTTACTTCAAAGGTTCTGACTGAAGACTTACTGTTTTAGGTGCTGAGAAGACAAGTATTTAAGGCTTAATGCTTTCCTGAATGGGAGGTAACCTGACGATATCTATTTCTAGAGCAGTACAATTTAAATAATCATATATGAATAGCTCAGGAGAGGAGGATATATAACATTTTACAGATTACATCTGGAGCAGAACAAAGCTACTCCATCCTTTTAATGCAATGGAGGGAAAAAAACTCAGAATTAAACCAGTGCATCCACTCACATCGCTGCGGAGCTCGTAGGCGTGTTTGGCGTGGAGAATTTCAGGAGTGTCCCAAACAAAGCAGCCAATGCCTTTCAGCCAGTTAAGATCATCCTTGTATATCACCTAAGGTACCAGAGCAAAGAAGCCATCTGTCAGATTTCTACCAGGACATAATCTCTGATTGATAAATTAGACTAAAATTCAACTGTCAAATGATGGGAAGCAAGTTTATCAGTGTTTTGACTTTTTTTTTTCAGTTGGGGAAAATCAGAATAATTCCTTTTGGAATTTAAATAATTTCTCTTCATTGCTTTAGTTTGGCCAATAAATGATAACAAAAAAAATCCATTTATTTTTTTAAAAAAAATCTACTTGTGTACCCTACTGGGCAATGATTTACTGACAGCTTGCTGGCCACCTCTTGGGCAAGGCAAGCGTGTAGAAGTTTCCCACCACCAGGATTTTCTCAGATTTCCCAAGTTTCCACACTTTATACAACCCAATCATAAAAGACAATTTGCAGACAGGGGTGGCTGAACTGGTGGAACTGCAACGTTCTGATTTGGGAACTTACATCACTGAGCTGATCAGTTACTTTCCTAACATGGGCATTGACTTGGAGGTCTGGCAGACAGAGCCACTCATGGAGGCGTGTGCGGTAGTCGATCTCACTGACTTTCTTCTGGGCATCCTTAGCAGAGATGATGTCCACCATGTCTGGAACAATGTGGACTTTGGCTTTGTTCTTCTCATAGGTTTCCTTGTAGAGACGCTGTGGAGGTAAAGCAGGACATTAATAATGCTGAAAAATGGCCTGAGTATTAACTGTTGAGAAATTGTTGAAGCAAAATTAACTGTTGAGAAATTTGAAGCAAAATTAACTGTTTATAAATTGGAAGCAAAATTAACTGCTCATAAATTTGAAGCAAAATTAACTGTTCATAAATTTAAAGCAAAATTATTGACATTTTCATGCAACGTTAATGGGGGAGCAATCACTTTGGCTATGACCAAAATTCACATCTTGCCTGCTCTAAAAATCATTTGCAGAACTTTAACAAGGGTGATAAAATAGGATTTGTCAAATTTTCATTGTACACAGGTGTTAAAAGGAGGTGGACTCTGCAGTGTTCCATTTTTACACATAAACATACCACATAAAAGTTTTAGCCTTCCAGGCAATTTGAAAGCTAATGAGTTTGATAAGTTTGTAGGTGTATTATAGAATTTAGCAAATACTGAACACTGCCAATCACGTGTGGAAAGGTGGTATCTGGATGAAGGCATGTGGGTTCTTTGAGTAGTCTCTTCTGAGAGAAGTAAGATTTTATCAGGAAAACACACCAGGAGGCAACACTTACATCAATATTAAGCTTTCCAACTCTAAGGCACCTTGCTGTGTTGGGGTCATCCTCAACACCTCTGGGTATTGTGTACAGTGCTTTAAACTTGTCATATTCTTCTCGGTATTTCACCTGAGCAGATGAAAAGAAAGGCAACAAATAAGTGATTCCAATAAGTTAACTGGATTTTTGGAACAAAATTCATCAGTAAACAAATCATTTTGTTGAGTCCAAGAAGCAGAGAAAGCCTTGAAAGCAGGATCTTTTTATCCATTTAAATTAAAATGGAAAACAAGAGTGCACATCATAATTATCAAGTTTTAAAAGTAACAATAGCTGGCTAGAAGACTTTAAATATAAACAGATATAGAATAAGCTCTTTATTTATTTATTGTTCCAGCTTTTTCATTTAAAGCTATCAATGAAGTGAGTGATCTCTTATAAACCTCAAGTCCAGTGAAGCATAAGATTTTGTTCTTCTATACTTGGTAAGACATCATTTGAATACATTTGGTGTTTTTGATGCTTATGAAAATTTAGACTAAAAAAAAGCCCTAACCAGACATTTTGAAGAAACAGTTTCTATTACTATGAAATGGGAGGGTTTTTTTAATGTAAAGAAGCAGCAAAGACTGTTATCAAAATTATCACTACAGAAAATTGATTACCTACAAATACATACTATATTTCAATTAAAAATAAAAGATAATTTAAAACCTCCTTTATTATGTCTATATACACACCTATATCTATCTGTCTGTCTATCTATCTGCCTTCATGCAAGGCCTGAAGGATTTCATTGCCAGACCTGAAGATGGGATTAAACCCAAGGAAGTTTTTTATTCACTTACAGTACTAGCATTGTGCTTCAGCTCTTTTGCACGTGTCAGGGGTACAGCATCAGAGGGCAATATATAGCCAGTTGCTTTCACTTTATCCCAGGCTTCCTTGTAGAGGTTCTAAGGGGAAAAAGAAAGTCTCTGTGAGTGGAAAAATTCTCCTGCTGGGTAATAACCAACAACAAACAGAAATCAAAAGCCCTTCTGGTTATACACATAGGGTAAAAAGCCTTTTTTATTTATATTCTGCAACCATTACTTAATATCAAGACTAGTTTAGCCTTGACAGTGCCCCTAAAAGGTGACAAAAGTGCTTTCTAACTATCCATGTCCATTTTCATACAAGGGCTTAATTTTTTTCAGTTGCTCTTAACTTCAGGAAATCAATTTATAAATGCATGTATTTTGATAAGACTGTAACTACAGTTAGAAGAGATACCCTCTGACTGAAATACAGCATCTTCCCCATACTCAAGTCATGCATAGAGCTGTCATTGGCTTTGCTAAACTCCATGCTTGGATGTTCAAAGTCAAAATGAACAAAAATAAAACCCAAAAATCCCACATAGCAGCACCTTAAGAGAAAATAAAACCAAACTTTTAGAAACACTTACATTGCTGAAGAGATGTTTCAAATTTTGAACTCTTTCATAATCTACTGTTTCAAGCACAGTTGTGTACTTGTCCTTGTTTTTGTGGTAGTCTTCCTTGTATTTCACCTGTGAGATGAAAGTTTTGGTTAAGTTGTTTGGATTCTCAGCAGGAGCAGGGGGAGAAGGCTGAGTAGAGGTGGGGAGACTCACATCACTGGCATTGACAGCACTCTGCACTGCAGTCACATAGACAGGAGTGTCAGTAACAACACCAAAGTTCTTCAAGTTCTCTTTTCCTGCAGCTGTGTATTTGATCTAAGGAAACAAAACAAACCAAAATATTGACACTGAAAATGACCAGGATATTCCCTGCCAGCTTCCTTTAAAATCAGTTCTGGACAACTGAAGCCCAGGGTGACAGCCCAGTTAAGATCAGATTTAAAAGTGACAGGCTATAGAAGAGAAATATTTAATATATAGCCACAGAACTAAGGAATAATGAAAACTGCAAATAGCATCTAGTAGGCTAAGAGTACAATCAGCAAGGCAACAGACATTGTTTTCCCACCATAAATGTCTCACTGAGGTATCTTGCTCACAGGCTGGCATACAGAGTTCAAGTATTATCTTCTCACTATTGAAACCCACAACCCTGCTGTCACTCCATTGTCCTAAGTTTTCTGCTCTTTCAATAACAGAAGTGATCACACCTCTGCAGACAAAGCTGAAAGAGTTTACTATAACAACTTGAACAAAATATTTCTGTTATAATAGGAATTCCCTCATTCTGCTCTGGACAGGTGTCAGGCCCAGGGAATCATAAACAGAAGAAAAAATATCTTATAAAGATTTACTCATTTGAGGAAACTGTGCTTACTTGGCTCTGGAGGTCATATGATTTTTTGGCATGCAGGATTTGTGGCGTATCCCAGACATAGCATCCAAGTCCCTTCAGCCAATTTAAGTCATCTTTATACACCACCTATACAGAAAAAAAAATATCAAGTTAGGGACAAATTTGCCTTCTCCTTGAAGAAAGTACAATTTCCTCCCTCTCTACATTCAGTATCTTCCCCTTGTGCAAACTCAGTGCAAAAGGTTACCACTGAGCCTGACTCAGGCTCATTCAGTAGTTCCAATCTAGCTGGAAGTTTAAAATCCATGGTTATGAATTTCATCTTTAAATACTTTTATCTTTAAGACCCTGGAATGGGTTGCCCAGGGAGGGGGTGGAGGCCCCATCCCTGGGGGTCTTTAAGGCCAGGCTGGAGGAGGCTCTGGGCAGCCTGATCTAGTGGGAGGTGTCCCTGCTCATGGCAGAGGGGTTGGAACTGGGGGATCCTTGTGGTCCCTTCCAACCCTGACAGATTCTGATCTGTTTTGGCAGAGGACTTTAGAGCCCTAATGGCTCAAGGGTTGGACTTGATGATCTTAAAGGTCCCTTCCAACCTAAAGGATTTTATGATTCTACTATAGAAGCTATTTGAAAGCATATTATATTAAATGCCTTGAGAAAAATTACATGAAAGGCTGCTAAAATGACAAACAACTCAATGAAACACCTACATCACTCAGAATTTCCTGGGCTTTTCTGGCTTGAATGACATCATGCTCTTCAGGTGAACAGCTCCACTGGTGGAGGTAGGATCGGTATTCCAGGTCACTGAGGATATACTGGCACTTCTTGGCCAGCACGTGGTTCATCATGTCACTTGGAATATGGACATGTGCTTTGGTGTCTTCATAATTCTTTCTGTATGCCAACTGAAAAGGAAAGATTGGGGAAAAGGCAAGAGGAGAATATAGCAGTTTACTGGGTAATTTTGACTCTAATAAAACTACAGGTTCTAGCATAATCTGAGGCATGTTTTTTGGATTTAGTAGCTTGACAGGATGAAATCTTAACTTCAACATTGCTCACCATTTATTCTGATGTGCTTCTAGAAGGGAAAGAATGACCAGATTTAACAGCTGGTGAGAAAACTAACATGCCTTCAAGATAAAAAAAGCCATAGGCCATAAACATGTTTTTAATCTATTAAATCTTCCTGTCTGAATGAAGATTAAACTGTATGCCCTGCATGATGTGCTATATGTGCAGTGGTAATAAAAAAACACCCAGTGTGCATTTACTTCTCCAGTTCTTAAATTCTTATTTCAATTCAAAATTAACACTTTTTCTTTTTGTAAAGCAAAAGAATCCCAAGTCACATAGATTTTCTTGCTACTCAGACTCAAACAAGTCCCTTCTTCATCTCCTAAATCGTTGCAAGTTCAATTACTCAAGCCACGTGCAAAATAACTATTCAGGAAGCATAAACATGTTGAAAACACTTTTACTGATGTTACTGAACATTGTATTATTTATGCTTTAATATATAACACAAAAAAAAACCCTCAGAAAATGGAAACTCCTCCAGCAAGACTCATTCTCTCCTTACCGCACTCCTTATCTTCTGGAATTCCAGGGAATGAACGACACTGGGGAAATCACTGATGTCCTTCCCAGCCAGGTAATGGCCTTTCAGCTTCTCATATATTGCCTTGTATTTAAGCTGCAAAAGAATCATGGGGAAATTTTAAACTTCATTTGAAAAATGTAGAGGGGGACCAAAAAAAAATGTGGCAGAATGGAAAATTCCTGCTAACCTCACTGTTGATGTGGTTTGCATGCTTTGCTCCAACAAGTGGAATGTATTTCTCATCCAGAGTGTACCCCAGGGGCTTGCTGATTTCCCAAGCATTTTTATAAAGTTTCTAGACAAACACACAAAAAAAAAATATACAGGTTTTGAGAAAATAACAAGTTATCCTACCCAAGAAGTCTGGCTGCCATTTATATGAACATGGAATGTGACTGCTCTTACAGAGTTGTTCCTTATTCCATGAACTATCCTAATAAACTAAGTGAGGAATGTTTATTCTGAGGAATTTTGTGTTCCAGTTCAGGAAGGTACCTCAGCACAAATTTGAGCATCTCTCTATTTACTCACTATATTTGGAACTTAACATTTCTCAGCCAGAAGAGTAATAAAGATATCCAAACTGGAGGTATGAGATCTTGTTTAAAAGTGAGTATAAAATATTGATAATGTTATTGATACCTGTTCACAACTGGGAAAAATCTCCAAGTAATGCTATTTTTCATTATAAGAGCATTAACTGTGTCAGTGGCACTTCTCTAATACATCATATTTTGTTAAATATCAAATATATTTACCTTCAGACTAAATTATGAAGTGCTTACTCATCTGAATGAGTAGATATTTTTCATAAAATAGAGATTTCCCATTAAAATTAGTGAGACTACTCAAAAGTAACTGCTTAATAATGTAATTCATCTACTATTTCCCTCTCTTATTAAAAAAAAAAGTAAATTTCACCAGTAATCTAGGAAAATATTAATGGATGGACTTATAAAGTGGTTTTGTAGTGCAAACTCTACTCCTACTACTGCTATTACTACTTCTAAACACCACACAACAGTGTTTTAAGATTGGTTCAAGAAAGAAAAGACCCTTATCCTAACAATCCAAACTGGGAAAACTGGAGAACAAAGAGACTAAAATAACCTTCCCAGTGTCACCCTGCAGACAGACAGAGAAATAGAACAGTTTTCTGAAGTTTGGTTCCCATGCTGTTCCTTTCAGAACAGCCAAATGAAAGCTTAGTGAGATGTTTCTCAAAACTTACATCACTGTAGAGTACAGACATGTCCTTGGCATGGTTCAGTGCAGGAGTATCATCAGACCCAATGTACTGGCCTTTCTCAAGGTTAAATGTTTCTTTGTATTTTAGCTACAAAAGAAAAACATACACAATGTTAATTCCACGAGAGAAATAAATTATCTCAACTAATCCATTCATCAGACCTTAATTTTCTGGTGTTTTATCATGTCTTCAGTAATGGTGTGTGGTACATTCCAGACACTACCACACAGGCAAATGTCACACCACAAAATCCATTATTCTAGTGAAATTAAACATACTAACCAGCAAATACAGGTTAGCAGCAACACCAGGAACTCCACTAGCACTACACAACTAACTGCTGTTCATCAACAGGACTCAATTTTCAACTATTATAAGCAAAATCAATGCCAACTAAGTAAGGGACATGCTATCCTCTTCTACAGAAAAATGTAAAATTAGTTTGGATAGCAATATTATGTTCATTTTCATCCCTTCTTACTAAACTGATCTACCTCAGTGAAAGTCTGTTATTAAAGACACACAGATACATAAGGCTAAACACAGTATAATTTAGCAAAAGCAATTAAGTCATGCACCAATTTTAGTAATGCAACAGTTTCTATTTAAAAAAAAAAAAGGTACATACATCACTCTGATTGACAGAGTTAATCTTTGCCAAAACAATGTCAGGAGTGTCAACCACACTGGTATAATTGGAGAAGTTATCAAGGGCTTCTTTTGTATATGCTCTCTGCAAAGAGACAAAATATTGTATTAAATACTGTGCATGAGAAGAGCTGCTCATGGAGCTGCTACAATATTTTCTCCTACCTTATTTATCAGCTCTTGTGCATGCTTAACTTTCTTATGTTCCACTGAATCCAGAGGAATCCAACCACAGCCACGAAGCCATTCCAAGTCAGATTTATAAATATTCTAAAGTCAGAAAAGATAACAAAAAAGGAAAGCCTTTAATTCAGGATGCCATTTTTTCAGTCTTACATAATACAGACTATATCCTTAGACCAGACTAAGTGGAGAGGACCTAGTAGGGATGTGATCTCACTTACATCACTCTGCAGGTCATAGGCCTTCCTGGCTTGAATGCAGTCATTCTGGTCAGGGTGGCAGGTCCACTGGTGCAGGTATTGGCGGTAGTCAACGTCACTGACCAAGTTCTGACCTTCCTTTGCTGCTACCAAGGACACCATGTCTGCAGGGATGTGAACCTTGGACTTGGTTTTGTTATAGTCTGATTTGTACAGCCTGTCGTTCTGGATCTCGCCCGCGTGCTCGAACCACACCAGTTTGGGGTCATCCCTCATGCTGGCAACTCCAACGTAGTGACCTCGTTGTTTGACGTAGTCAGCTTTGTATTTCAGCTGATGGGAGAAGAGAGAAACATGTATGAAATCAACACTGATGAGATCTGCTCTGTTTGTAACCTGTGAAGAGGTTTTGGCAACACAAAGAACAGATGAGGCAGGTTGTCATCGAGGGCACTCTTGGGGTGTCAGCACATGACAGGATAAAGATATGACACAAACAGTAACTTCACATTCCACTTCAAAACATTCAATTTTCTAGACTAATAGGCTACCATTTTTCAATAAACAATATTCTCAACACAAAAGGGAAGCCTCATTAGAAAATATTTTCTACTAAGTGCATTTAGTCCCAGTTTTGTAACAAATTATTTGAGAATGAAGTGTGGAGGCTTATTTAAGTTATATACACTTAATAAACTCAGACTGTTTTGATAAAAATTACCTTCAGACTAAGAGTCGTGTAATAATTTCAGCATCCAGTATGCAAAAGGTTAAAATGTAATGTGCATAATATGCCAGCAAGTGAAATCAGAGCTATATATTATAAGCAAAATATTACTTCAATTATTTAACATTTATAAAAGGTGGAAGTCCACCTTGGCTGATTTTGAAAGGGCTGTTTCTGGAGAAAGTGGAGATGGAAATGAGAACCTGACCTTTGAGCACTGCTATCTGTTAAAATCCATCATAACAAAGCTGGCTCAGTGGTTTGGAGAACAGTGGACTTTCTGGGTCATGAAAGGTCTGCTGGATGTTTAGCCCTAGTGGAAAGCTTCCTCTGTATGTTGCTGAATTTGCAAGATCTTTAACATGTCCAAACTTCCAAAAACTTGCCACCCAAAGGAGAAAAATTCTTACCTCACTCTGGACATCACTTGAGCGTTTGGCATGACAGATCTGCACAGTGTCAGGTGGCAAGAGGTAACCAGTGGCTTTTTCTTTCTCCCAACTTTCCTTGTATAGATTCTGTGGAATATAAAAGTGAGGAGGAATTCAACACTACTATAATTGCTACTCAGTATAGGTAACCTATATTAAAGTGTAAGGATAATAAATCCTTCCTTTAGGATGTTGTTAATAAGGTAAGCTTTTTAAATTCCTCAAAAGAGTAATGAATGTGGGTAGAAGCTGCCAAGGAGAGAGCACATACCTGATTAAGAATTCTGGCTGCCTCTCGGGCCATATCTAGCTGTGGTGTATCTGTTAGAGTATAATTTGTCTTGGCCTCATTCCATTCTTTGTGGTATTTAATCTAGAACAGAGAAAGAAATGCCTGCCTTGAAGCATCACCACAAAACTAAGAAAACATAGTAAGAAGACATGGAATTTATGCATGTAATAAGGTATAAACCCCTGAATTTGCAAGGCTATTAGACACGACACATTAAATATACATCCAAGTGGGTATTTTCTTTTAAAATATAGAAGACAAGAAATTACAAAAATTCTCAGAAGCAATTTAAAAACTTGTTCCAAGGCAGCTGGGTGTAGAGGAAAGAATCTTTGAAGCCAATGTTTTGCTGTTTGGTCTACAGGGATGTACAGCTAATAGCCAAGAAAGAAGTTTGAGCCAGGATAATAGATTTTAAGCTTTTTTAAGAGCAAATCTCTATACTCAGCAGGACCTCCTCCTTCAAAAACATATAGAATAGCAAGCTGGCAGTGCACCAGCTTTGCTCATGTTTATTGTTACACAGTTAACTAAAAAGTGTAAACTCACTGGCTTAAGTGAGAAAGATGAAACATTATGGTTGCCAGGAGTACAAATAGCTATTTATGTTCATTTTGCCAATTATATCAACCAAGGCAGAAAGAAGGGACTGGTTGCAGAACTAGCACTGGCTTTTCACATCTCTTTTCTCATCTCAGTGTCACTTTGCTCGAGGAACTTCTTCCCTCATAATTGGTGGACATGTGCTAGTGACACCCTGTGCATCTTTATGTCACCCAGTCACAGAATTCCCTGAGACGGATTGAAAATTCTTTTACATTTCTTTTAAAAAAAAAAAGATTAAATCAATACCTTTTTAAAGATAACATCCCACCATGTAAATATACCAAACAATTTAACAGCCTGGAAAACCAAAAGAACTTACATCACTGAGAATTTCCCCACTTTTCTTTGCTGTGACATAGTCAACTCTGTCATCCACTGCAGTAAATGGAAGAGTTTCAGCTTTTGTACGGTACTTTCTCTGTTTGAGAGAAAAGATGAACAGTCAGATTAGACTGGAACATTCTATAGCTAACACAACAATTCTGAATACATAGAGGAGAATGTTTACATCAAAAGAAAAACTCTCCACACACAATGAAAGCTGTGGAAATAATCCAGTTCTGGGGTTTTTTTTTGGTTTTAAAAAAATATTGACGTATTTAACCATTAAAAATACTTTAAATTACAAATACCCTTAAGAAAATTTTAGTATTGAAAAACATTTTGTTACCTCATTCAGGATATCTCCAGCATATTTGACGTGGTTGACTCCAACTGAGTCATTTGGCAGCCATCCAATACCCCGTAGCCATTCTAAATCAGATTTATATACAGCCTGGGAGAAAAAAATAATAGGGTCCATGCTGTTAACCACAGTTCCCTGTCCAATCCAGCAAGATTCATAAATAATGCCATTTATTTCTACTGGTTAAAAGAGCAGTGATTGCCAGGTGAGCACAATATTTGTATTTATCACCCCTCAAACGTGGCACTAACAGCGGCACTTAATTTGCATTCCTAACGAACAGCAAAGCCAATCCACTGAATTCAACAGGAGATTGCCACTATTTAGGGCTGAAGCAGGCTGAGAAGAGACAATAGGGTCATAAATGAAGCCTTCATGTTGACTCACATCACTCTGCAGGTCGTAGGCTTTCCTAGCATGTATGACATCGTTCTGGTCTGGCAGACAGATCCACTGGTGCAGGTAGTGCCTGTAATCCACGTCGCTGACCAAAGACTGCCCCTGTTTGGCTGACACGATGGACACCATGTCTGCTGGGAGGTGACACTGTGTCTTCCACTTGGCAAAGTGTTTCTTGTATTCCAGTTCACTCTGAACTTTGCCTATACCGAGTGCAAAGTTCATTTTTGTGTCTTCTTGAGCATTTGGAACTCCGACGTAATGTCCCTTCTGCTTCTCGTGTTCCAGTTTGTATTTATACTGGGTGAAAGAGCAAAGACCACCATTATTAACAGTTGTCATGAAATAGCTCTTACAACATGTGAGGAGCTAAATACCTCTTTTGGAACTTACATCACTAGCAATTTCTCTAGAAGCTTTGGCTGCCTTGATTGGGATTGCATCCGCTCTCAGATCATAACTCATCTTCATCTCATCCCAAGCTCCTTTATAAAGTTTCTAAAAAGACAGCAAAATATCACACATATGATAAATATTCTACTTTTTGCCATTAAAAAGAAAATCACATAGCTGATTGATTGCCATTTGTTTGCTGAACTACTGCAAGAGGGTTTTTTATGCATTACTCCTGCTCCCAGCTAGAAATACTGCTGGAAATCTTACTGCCTTTCAAACTTGTCCAGTACCTGCAACAACAGTTCTGCAACTTATACTGCAGAGAAAGGTGTTTGTAAAAGTCTGGAAAATATTCCTCTGCCTTGGGCTCTCCTCCATTTCAGCAAAACAGCATCTCAGTCATGCATGATATTACTAATTTTTAAACAGTTGTATGCAAGCATTTATTTTTACATGTCTAGGAGAATACTCAGCAGAGGGAAGAAAATATTCCTCTGCCTTGGGCTCACCTCCATTTCAGCAAAACAGCATCTCAGTCATGCATGATAGTACTGATTTTTAAACAGTTGTATACAAGCATATAATTTAAAAATAAATTTAAAATAAATTTCATTTAAAAGAATACTCAACAGAGGGAAGGGAATGTTGTAAGCCCTGTCTGAGGACAGACTTCAATGAGATTCACATAATTTAATCTCAGCTTTGTAAGTAACATCACAGAATACTAAAATTCACAGGATACACACACTGTTTTACAGAAGCAGAAAACAGAATGATAAGCATACCTGGCTATAATTAGCAGCATTAGTCTTGGCTAGGTTGATTTCAGGTGTGTCTGGCATAATATGGATCATAGTCTTGTCCTTTTCCCAGGCTTCTTTGTATTTAGGCTGTGAAAAGAGTTCATATTATGATATTGTAATTCTGGAGTATTTAGGTTGTGAAAATAGTTCATATTATGATACTGTAATTCTGGAATTTCCTTTGTCAAGAACATAAAATGCCATCAATCTCTCCTGAATTATCATCTCTAAAAACAAAATCTCTAGAAAAGCAAGAATCTTGATTTAAAATACCACTGCTCCATGTTATATTGTAGCAGTGAGCTCTGAACCATTTATAGCTTGAAGACAACTTTAAGAAGGTTGTAACTTACAATGCTGACTTGTTCAGCGTTGGTTTTGGCCAGAACAACATCTGGAGAATCAACAATGCTGGTGTACTTCAGGCGCTCGATAGGCGTCCGATACACGTTATCACTCAGCAGATCCTGGGCTTGCTTCACTCTCTTGACCTCTGGAGAGTCATTAGGCAACCAGCCAATCCCACGGAGCCACTCCAGGTCTGATTTATAGATAGCCTGTATCAGAAAAGGAAAACATGAGGCTTAAAATGACTTAGTTATTTTAAACTTTACAGAGCAGCATGTGTTAGAAAATGTCACATCAGCTAGAGCCAGATAAATCTGGTTTGTGTACAAGAAACATTCAATGTCATAAGTAAAATACAATCTGGGAACCAGGTTTTTAGTAGAACAGCACATTCTAAACCATGTCAAGTTAAACAGAGGGGAAACAACTAAGCAGAATTGCTGTTAATAGCAATGAGTGTTAAGATCTTAAAAGAGTCATCCTGTCCCCTCCCGAATATTTTTCCTCTAGTTAATTCAACAGCTTATAAATACAAACAAAAAAACAACAAACTGCCCACCAAGAAATGTAACAAAAAGGAGAGAAAAAGGTCATAAAGGTAATGGGGACTAGAGCTAACTGTATAAACCCTAAAATGGTATCAGGCAACATTATTTCGGTTTTAATTGAGCAAATCCTTCAGGAAGGAACATGAATCTCACCTCCAAAGTTCATAATTGAAATGGAGGGACAGAGATGGATGTTGGCTGAATAGAAAAGTCAGTTCAGGAACTCAGCTGTGCTGACTCTTCCTGCTTTGAAATCAGCCACTAAAACATCTTACCTGCCCTCTTACACAGCTTTCTTGCAATTAAATTGTTATTCTTGTTTACCTGTGTCAACTTGACAAAAGCCACCTGATTCCAAAGCAGCAAACAGATTTGTCTGAATAGAAAAGGCAGTTCAGGACCTCAGCTGTGCTGACTCTTCCTGCTTTGAAATCAGCCACTAAAACATCTTACCTGCCCTCTTACACAGTTTTCTTGCAATTAAATAAATTGTTATTCTTGTTTACCTGTGTTGGACAGAGATGGATGTTGGCTGAATAGAAAAGTCAGTTCAGGAACTCAGCTGTGCTGACTCTTCCTGCTTTGAAATCAGCCACTAAAACATCTTACCTGCCCTCTTACACAGCTTTCTTGCAATTAAATTGTTATTCTTGTTTACCTGTGTCAACTTGACAAAAGCCACCTGATTCCAAAGCAGCAAACAGATGTTATTACTAAACAGATGTTAGTCCCATCAAAGAGATATAAAACCTTCATCTTGGATCACAACGCTCCAAGACCACACATAACACAGCAGAGAGCAACTAAAGCTTTTGTAAACTTAAAAAGTATTGATATTACCTCTAAAGAAGAGCTGAAAATAGCAGAAATGTGAAAAACTGAGGAAGCCTAAAGCTGAATCTTTTGTGACTGTACATTATCAAGCCACCAATATAAGTTTCTAATGCATTAAATGGTAACTACTACAACTCTATGTATACACACATCACTCTGTAGGTCGTAGGCCTTCCTGGCATGGATCACATCGTTCTGGTCGGGCAGACAGGTCCACTGGTGAAGGTACTGGCGGTAGTCGACGTCACTGACCAGTGTCTGGCACTCCTTGGCTGCCTGCACAGACAAGGCATCCACTGGGATGTGGATCTGGGTCTTGGAGTCGTTGTAGGCCTTCTTGTAGAGCCGGTCGTTCTGCAGCTGCATGGCACGGGCTGCCTGGGACAGCTTGGGATCCTCCTGGGCACTCTTGCACCCAATGTAGTGGCCTTTCTCCTTCTCGTG